TTAACTTCTTTGGCCGTGCGCGCCTGGAATAACCTCCCAGTTCTAATGGCATGATTGATGTGTCGGCCACCGTTTCAGGTTCCCTACACAATTGCAGAGTGTTTTGTTTAGTGCTTATTAGTTGCCTCTGGTCTGCCTGGAACCATGATGTCAAGAATCACTGGGAGATGGCCCGAGGGTTTTGGGCTGTTCGAATATGTAAATTTCTTTGGGACGTACACCGTTGAATGAAGTTTTAGAGAGTTGTATTTAGCTCTGAGCATCCATCAAACCTAATATGATTCGGCACCTTTACTGTCCGCTTCCCCGAGGTGCATCCCGTTACTTTATTGTATTTGTGGTTGCAATTGCCGACCAGTATTTAAGTCGTACTGGCCACTGGTTTGACTCGTGGTTTCTGGGTCACCAAACCAAACACTGCAGCAGACAAGACCACTGAGGAGGGCCTAGTTTAGGTTTAAGGTCGAAGCTTTGGTTTCACTTATTATTACAGTTACCTTTGGAGTTTAGGTTTAACTTGTGATTACGGCTTATATCAGAGCTTAGACAAGGCAAAATTTAAGTTTATTGAAATTTTGCACGAGATCGTTTCTACTATGGCTGGCGGATCCTTCTCGCCATCGAATATCAATAGGAAAAATTGCGTCCTACCTTTTTACTGGGTGTGCTTCTTGGTGGCGGCCAATAAAATGTGCAATCTACGGCCTAAACCCCGGTGCAACTGAAACATTGTGGGACTATGCTGTACCATAATACATATTAAAATCTATCTAAGTATTTTGTTATTAAAACCTATATTTCGGACTTTTTAGTCGTGTATTGATTCATTTCCCAATATCATTAGCAGTGAAAGCCTTTTCATCCCTCCTACAGATACCAACTCTGAATCAGGAAGCATTGCAACTGCGGATTCGCATTATCGAGCAGTTCCATCTGCTTGCTGCAATTATTGGCCGCTGGTTGTTGCCACTTAACGGGATCAGCAGCGATCAGCTTTCTGAACTGCTGCTCATCAACATTGGCACCGCTGCTGACATTCTCGACCTTTTCGAGGCTTTCAACGAGGAAGCGGTTATTAAACATTTCCCCATACAGATCAGCATCCTGTGCCTATGGCAAGCCAGCCTATTGCAGTTTTGTTTCAATAAGACCGCCAGACTTGAGGTTGAAGATACACAGACGCCCAGTAATCTAAACAGTGGTCAGCATAACGCTTTTCAGGCATCGGCAGTAGAAGACACGAATCAAAATTTTGGTATGGCAAGCCCCACAAAGAAGAAGACTCATCAATCAAGCCGTCTGGATGAAACGGAACCACAGACCGAATACAGTGCTCAGCATAACTCTTTTCAGGCATCTGAGCTAGAAGAAACAAGCCAAAACTTTGGCATCGTAAGCCCCACAAAAAAGGAAACAGATGAATCAATCCGTCTAAATGAAATGGAAGCACAGACCGAATACATTGGTCAGCACAACGCTTCTCAGGCATCTGCGCTAGAAGACATCAACCAAAATTATGGCATGGCGAGCCCCACAAAAAAGGCGACCCATAAATCAAGCCGCCTGGATGAAACGGAACCACAGACCGAATACAGTGAGTCGTCAGAGGGGGACTGTTGCTGCTGCGGTGGTTTTTGGCACCGACATGAGCGTTGTCGCAACGTCCTCTTCGGAACGGAGTTATGGGCAATCATTATGACGCTGATGCTGCAAGACCTGCCCTTCATGTGCCTGCGACTGACGCTGATTTTCGCCTTTGCTGTTCGGAGTTATCAGAACATATTTTTCGCTATCAAAAACATGATCCTTATTCTGGCCCAGGTCTTTCGATGCTGGGTCCTGTTGCGGAATTACGGTCCTAATTACCATATGATGGATTGGAGTCACATCATTTTTCGCATACGCTGACATCCTGAAAGCATGCAGGTCTCCCCCTCTGCCAGTCGTCTCCTCCCCGAAAATATACCCATACAGACGGTCACAGAGACAGAGGATAACATTTTTTCATTCTACTCCCTTTCATGTTTACTGAATGTTCGAAGTTTTCTGTGGCGATAGATGAAATGCAGAAAAAATACAAGTGTTTATATGTAAGCTTTAATAAACAAGTCTTGAATCCTTAATTTCATCCGTCTTATTGCTTATTTTGATTTCTGGGAACCATCCGGAACTGCAGACTGGTCACATGCGCTGGCAGTATCCGTCAATTTCACAAAAAAGCAGTGGGAAGAAGCAAGCCACATTTTTCGAGTTTTCAGTCTGTAGGCACGTGGTTCGACAAATGGAGTTAAACAGATATGACTTTCCTATCTGTCTACTTATCTAACTATATATAAGTATGTAAAGTTCTTCGCATGTTACACGATTTCTTCCCATATTTATTCACCACTTGATCATGATAATTAAGAGCAGGAACGTTTGAAAAAATTACATAAGAGGAGGCACATAGCAGCATTCTTTAGTATCCTTGCTCATCCACTAGTAAGGTTATTGCAGGTGAATTTAAGGCTAAGAAAGGTTAACCCTAACAGCTACGATCTTCCAGTCCCTGTTCCTTGGGAAATGGGAGGAGTCTTGGGAAGGCCAGAATGTTAGGAACAATATATTGTGTACAGAAGAGTTAGGAGAAAGTTGCCATTCGGACCGACATGCTGTTTGGCCGTGAGGACGCGTGAGCGCGTGTCCAGCTCAGAGCGGATTCCAAAATGTCCATCAGTGCAGAACTTGACCGAGGACCACAGAGCGCTTCAGGAAGCCGATTGGGCACGAGCTCTTCGGGACGCTGATAGGTCAGACCTTTCTCGAGTGCGTGTGTGCGTCCCAGCCGCCAGAGGACAAAAGTTGCGCTTCGCACGCGGAGCGGGTTGAGCGACTGAGTCGAGCGCGACTGGGCGACCAAGATTGTCCCTGCCATATCACGTCTGTGGCGTCAAGTCTTTGAAGTAGGTGGGCTGTGGAACCGCTACAAGGTTGTTACCGTGGATGAAGTACGTGCTGTCATAATGAAAACCAACGACCTGGATTATATGGCCATCGATCAAGTTAAACTGAACTATCTGAAGCGTTATAACAAGTCTAAAATCATCTTATATATCACGAAATAAAATCTATTTGGTGGAGAGCTACTTTTTAAATATTAGTACTACATCTTCCAATTTTTTTCTTCGTTGACTAAACTTTTATTTTCCGATCTCTTTATCCATGCGTTACATATATATATAGATTTGATATGCTGTCCTATGACATCCCACCAGCATATGGGGCGCCAATCTGGGTTGGGTATGAATGGCTGACGACGACCAATAAGCCAGAAGTCACCGTCCTAAACCCCCTGACCGTGCTGGTGATGTACTTCTGCATTCATATAGATGGTTAACCCATGGTTAAAAATACTACGTTGGTCGTGTTGTACGATGAAACATTCCACGCTATAATCGCAAACATTTTATTTACCTCAGGATGTTGGCCTTTGAACAAGCTTCCTTTCCTCCACTCTCTAAAACGACCATCTAATTAGCTTGTATTTTTCAATTCATTTTCGATGGCCCCACCAATTCAGCTATATGCTATGGACGATATAAATAAAACGGGTCGAGTTATGTGCTCTGTTTTAAACACATTATCTATTCCTGGAGTCTAGGTTGTAAAGTAGCGAAGGTTGTGTCTTAGGAAGTTTCCTTAAAGGGTATTTTTTATTAACACCATGAAATGGTAAACAGAATTACATCGTATCTTTTCTTTTTATTTTGACAATATACTGTACAACATAGTCTATGTCCATGCGGACATGTGATAATCCTTTTATGCTAAATTATTAATAGTGCACTAAAATGAATTCTTTCGTTAACAATAAATACAACGACTACCGTTACAGTTCAGACGCATTGGGCAACTGAAAACGTTCATGCAGCCCACAGAAAAGATTTTGTGAAATGTTGAATTTTGACAAGTACCAGTATATTTGAGGGAGATGTAGATGGGTCCTCTTTGACTTCCCTAATTGGAATTGGCTATCAAACGAGTAAAAGAATGAATATTTGCAGACATTTTCTTGGAGATGAATTTGCACGAATAAAGTCCGTTCCATAATCATGGGGTTTCTTCTAATTTTTCGGGAAATGCATTTAAAGGACGATGCTTAGATTTTCAGTTAAGTTAGGCTTAGTTTGAGGGTTTGAGTTTGGCGTTAGATTGCGGATTATGGTTAATGTCAGGAATGGGGAACAGGAAGATCTAATTTCCCAAGAAATTCGCACTAGCTAATTCAGCGCGTTCTACCTTACAGTGGAATCGTCTGCTAATGAGGAAAACCCATACTTCTGTGTTCATTTTGACCAAGTGTGTTCCGTGCTGGGAGCTGAGAAGTATTCCAGTAAACACCTCAATTATATAACATGAAAGTCACTACTACAGCTCGACCAAAATAATTATTTCAAATCGAGGACACATTGCATACTTTAAGTTCACGCTCCCTATAATATTCCAAGAATTGATTCTTGCTCACAGCTTCAACACTCCCGTACCTGAAATTCATGCGGAATGCGTCTACAGTAGCCGCCGAAGACCATGCAACGCTAATTATGAAATTTGCCT